GAAGAGGATTGAGAAGGGATTGCGGCGTGGCTGGGTGATTTCTCGCCTTGTGTCTCTCTCCGGCAAGCGCACACGCCCTATAGCAAAAATCTCTCCCTTAAAAACAAAAGGTCCTGCCTGTTTACTCAACCCAACCCAGAGGGAGTCACCCGCAAAGACTGGGAGAGCACAGGGCAGTCATTACAACACTCCGTTTCTCTGGCTTCTGCTCCGCGCCCGCCCGTGCTGTCCTGGGATTCATCCCCTCCCCAGTCAGCCTGCTCAAGGGCAGAATCCTTGTCCTTGTTTGTCCGTGGGGCACTGCTCGTTGTGGACTAGGTGTACAGAAGGTAGGGGGGCCAGCTGGTGGTGTTGGTCTCCCACATAGATGCGGTTCGAGTCCCAGATCCGGCCATGGAAACTCAGCAGGCGTATGTGCGTGTGCCTCCCAAGAGGAAAATGGAGGAGAAGGAGTTGGGCCGTGACCATGCCCCTGGGGAGGATTTCTCGCTTTCTGCCTCTCTGTCTCTCTCTGGCAAATGCATGCATCCTATAGCAAAAATCTCTCTCTCGAAAAAAAAAGAAAAATAGGAGGTAGAGGGAGGAAGAGGACTCAGCTTGGGGTGGGGAGCTGTGATTTGCTTCCTGCCTCCATGGGACACCCGGGGGACAGCTGTGAAATGCCTGTGGGCCTCCGTTTGCCTGTCTGTGGAAGGGAGAAAACGTGGCCTGGGGCCGCCATAAAGGAGGGGCCTGTAAGTGCTCGACCTCCCCTAGAAATTAGTTACTAGAACGAAGAAACACGAAACTGGTATTTACCGAGCTTCCTTCCCGAAATCTCCTGGCTGGGGTTACACCCGTGCCTCTCCGCCCCTCCGCACTCATGTGAGTAGGTCCCCGTGCATCTGCGTGGCCCAGCGAGGTCCAGGAATCTGCCCACCTTCACGCTTCTACTGAGCAGCAGAGCTGCGGTGGACTGACCGTCTGCCCCTCTGCTGCCGCGCCGCTTTGACTCTCCGAGTGAGGACTGTCCTGTGACACAAATCTGTCACCTGCTACTTGCCGGCACTGACTCCAGAGGCTAGGCCTCCTAGCTGTCCATCAGCCCCTTTGCTTCTGGGATCTCTTCTAGGAACTTCTGTCCCGTTGCGTGTCTGCCTGCCTGGCCCTTTGTGGTCACTGCATTCTGTGCAGAAGAATCTGGAAGACCAGGCCAGGGCAGGCTTCTCATGGTCATGGTGAGACTGAAGTGTGGGAAATGTAGCCTCAGTTCTCAGCCCCTGTCAGTTTGGATAGTTACCATTAAGGTCTCAAAGTTTATGAGTGACTTTTTTAAAAAAAATTTTTAAAGAATTATTTTATTTGGGACCAGCAGTTGGCATAATGGCCATGTCACTGGACTCCCATGTAGTCGACCACGGTTTGAGTCCTGGACCCGGTGGCTTAAACTCATGCCGGGCGCGTGTGCGTGCGTGCCCAAGATCCCAAGAGGAGAATGGAGGAGAAGGGATTGCGGTGTGGCCATCTATGCTGGGGGGTGATTTCTCGCTTTCTGTCTCTCTGTCTCTCACTGTGTTTCTGGCAAGCGCATGTGCCGTATAGTGAAATCCCCTCCAAAAAAAAAAAGAAGAAAAAAGAATTATTTTATTTATCTTTATTTATTTATTTTAATTTGACCAGAGAAAGAGAGAGAAAGCAAGCCGCCTGGTCTGGCACCCGAACCGCAGTCAGCCATGTGGGAATCCAGAGCCCTTACCCACCATACCACCTGCTGGTCCATGAGTGACTTATTTATTTTTTTCTTGAAGTTTATCTATTTACATTCATTCACTATACATCAGCACAGCAAACGAAATGAGATTTCCCATCCAGAATACACCGTATATTGGCTCAGTCAAGGACATCAACGAACGCGTTATCGTCAACAAACAATTTTCCATTTCCGAGTGACTTATTTTTTTAAAAAACACGGGCTGGGGGCCAGTAGGTGGCACAGTGGTTGAGGTGCTGACTGCCACATAGTCGACCGTGGTTGGATTCCCGGACTCGGTGGCTTGAAACTCACCCTAGGTGCATATGCATCCATGCCCAGAATCCCAGGAGGAGAATGGAAGAGAAGGGATCGCAGTGTGGCCATCCTCCCTGGAGGGTGATTTTTCGCTTTCTCTCTGTCTGTCTCTATGGCAAGCACGTGCCCTATAGCAAAATTCTCTCAAAAAAGAAACAGAGGCTGGGGTCAGCTGGTGGCATGATGGTTAAGGCTGACTTACTATCACATGGCCAACTGGGCAGTTCAAGTCCCTGACCCAGCGGCTTGAGAAACATGCCGTGTGTGTGTGTGTGTGTGTGTGTATGCGTACACGCACGGACACGTGTGTTCAAAACCCATAAAGGAAGGCGATGAAGGAGAGGGGATTATAGTGAGCCTGTTTACCATGGAAGGTGCTTTCTCATTTCTCTCTCCGCTGAGCACATGTGCCCTCTAACAAAAATGAACAGAAACTTACAAACACACACATACACACAAGTTAGAGCAGACCGAGGGTTCCTAACCTAAGATGCTCCCCAAATATGACCAGCGCTATTTTAATAATAAAACTAGTGGGGGCCAGCAGGTAGCCTGGTGATTATGGGCTGGACTCCTGCGTGGCCCACCATGGTTTGCGTTCTGGACACGGTGGTTTAAAAATCATGCCTGGTGGGAACCAGCAGTTAGCGTAATGGCTATGTCGCTGGACTCCCATGTAGTCGACCGCGGTTCGTGTCCCGGACCCGGTGGCTTAAAACTCACGCCGGGCGCGTGTGCGTGCGTGCCCAAGATCCCGAGAGGAGAATGGAGGAGAAGGGATTGCGGCGTGACCATCCCCCCTGGGGGGTGATTTCTCGCTTTCTGTCTCTATGTCTCTGTCTGTCTGTCTGGCGAGCACACGCACCCTACAGTGAAAATCTCTCCAAAAAAAAAAAAAAATCATGCCTGGTGTGTGTGCATGCATTCCCAGGATCCTGGGAGGACAGTGAAAGAGAAGGGACTTCAGGGTAGCCATTCCCCTCCCCACCTGGTGTGTGGAGGGGTGGTTTCTCAATTTCCCCCTCACTGTCTCTCTATGTCTGTCCTGTGGGTGTGCATGCCCTATGCCAAAAACCTTAATAGTATTAGTAATAATGAAATAATTAAACCAGTCAACAGTCATTGAGCTCTGACTGTACGCTGTGGCCCTCCTAACCGCTTTCCACATAGTAACTCAGTTCACATTTACAAACCTCACCCAGCAGGCTCTGTTCCTATCCCCTCTTCCAGATGAATTGAACAAGGCACAGAGAAGTTAAGTGATTTGCTCAGGGTCACACAGTAGCAGAAGTGGAGACCCATATTTAATAGTGGGGCATGGTTCTCTGCCAAACTTCTTTTGCTCTTGCCAGAAGTCTTGGGGATGGCTGTGAAAGGCTGACCTGTCAGCACCCACAGTCCTGAGCCCAAAAACACTGATCACCCATATTTGCAGGCCGGGAACTCTGGGCTAGCCCTTTCAGCAGGCTGTTCTGCATGCCTAGCCACTCAGTTGCTGCCGGCCGTGCAGAACAATCTAGACGGCCCAGTGGGGCAGATTGCACCCTTGAGGACCACCTGTAGGAAGTTTTGACCATCTGTGCAAGCGCTCAGCCTGAGCAGCAGGGTCTCAAATAAGGTGACCCTGTGTGATGCATGCTGCACCCCTGGGCTCCCCCACCCCACCACCCCACCCTGTGACGGCATGTCTGTCCCTTTCTCCACAGCCACCTCCCCGTGCAAGATCCTCAAGTGCAACTCTGAGTTCTGGAGCGCCACGTCGGGCAGCCACGCCCTGGCCTCGGACGACGCCCCCGAGTTCTGCGCCGCGCTACGCACCTACGCCCTGTGCACGCGGCGGACGGCCCGTACCTGCCGGGGCGACCTGGCCTACCACTCGGCCGTCCATGGCATAGAGGACCTTATGAGCCAGCACAACTGCTCCAAGGACGGCCCCACCTCGCAGCCGCGCCTACGCACACTCCCGCCGGCCGGGGACAGCCAGGAGCGCTCGGACAGCCCCGAGATCTGTCACTATGAGAAGAGCTTTCACAAGCACTCGGCCGCCCCCAACTACACGCACTGCGGCCTTTTTGGGGACCCGCACCTCAGGACTTTCACAGACCGCTTCCAGACCTGTAAGGTGCAGGGCGCCTGGCCCCTCATCGACAACAATTACCTGAACGTGCAGGTCACCAACACACCTGTACTACCTGGCTCGGCGGCCACCGCCACCAGCAAGGTAAGCCGGAGGGTCAGGGTGGGTCTACGGGTCGCATCACCCAGGCCCTGCAGACTCCGCCCCTAGGCACCTCCTGCACCCATGTTCTTACTGTCAGTGAACGGGTCATGGTTTGGAAAGGAATGTGTTGGAGATTTTTTGTGGTGATGTCAGCCCATCTAGAAACGCCTCTGCATGTCACCTCCACGGTGTTTCTTAAACTGCTGGTCATTGCCCACTACGCTGTGTGTAAAATCAGCATTCTGGTGGTTAAAGCACTGGAGTTGGGGATCCGGTGACTTGAAAACCGTATCAGACGCACCTGTGCTGGTGCCCAAATTCCAGAGAGGAAAGCGGAGGAGAAGGAATCGTGGGTGGCCACCTCCCTGGGACATGATTTCTCACTGTACAAAATCTCTCTTTCTCCAGCACGCACACACACGTACTAGCAAAACTGAAAATGAAAGAAACCAGCATATGTACTTAATAGGGGCTATTTTAGATCGTTTGTAAAAAATTTTTAGAAGGAGCGGTGCATTCACCAGAGAGAGATGGAGAGACGGGGAGAGGGAGTGAGTGCCCCCTCAAAGGGCATGGTCACCCTGCAATTCCTTCTGCATTTCCCGATCCTGTCAGGATGGGGCATGATATTCCAGAGGAGGACAGCCAGGAGACAAAGGCTCGATCCTTCCCCCCTTCCTCAGACGCCATGGCCCTGGCTTGCCCTCAGAGGGTCCTTCCCTGGACCCTTCCTTTGTGTGGGAAACAAGGGGTCTTTGCCCCAGGGATGCCCTAATAAGCCCTCAGCGCCAGGCCCTGATGCCTCGTGGCCACGAGGGGGGACAGCCACGCCACAATCCCTTCTCTTCCGTGTCCTCTCGGGATCTTGAGCACACACGCACACGCACCCGGCGTGAGTTTAAACCACCGGGTCCGGGACTTGAACCGCGGTCGACTACATGGGAGTCCAGTCACATAGCCATCCGCTGGTTCTGAGTCAGCCCCTCTGGAACCAAGGAGCTAGGAGCACCAAAAGTGACAAAGGAGCCTGGTGACAGACCAGGGAGGAATTGGGGTCTGTGGTCAAGGAGCCTGGATGGCTACTCTGCTGGCTGGGGGTTCATAGTGTGGAGCTGGTGAGGGGTGCACCATGCTGAGATGTCACCCCCTTCCTGACACCACTGTGATGAGCACACAGGGACCTTGAGCACAGCAGTGCAATCCATGGGCCAGACTGACTGATCCATTCATTCGTTCTTCTGTCTTATTCGCTCACTTGGCCCACATTTCTCAAAGGCTTGCTCTGATGCAAGGTAGATGCTGGTGCCATGGACAGCTCGGTGAAGAGGGAAGACCCTGGGATCGGCAGTTAGCGTAATAGCTATGTCCCTGGACTCCCATGTAGTCGACCGCGGTTCGAGTCCCGACCCGGTGGCTTAAACTCATGCCGGGCACGTGTGTGTGCATGCCCAAGATCCTGAGAGGAGAATGGAGGAAAAGGAATTGTAGTGTGGCCATTCCTTCTGGGGGGCGATTTCTCGCTTTCTGTCTCTCCGTCTGTCTCTCGGTCTCTCTGGCGAGCACACACGCCCTATAGGAAAAAACCTCTCCATAAAAAGTAAAAAAAAAAAAAGAGGGAAGACCCATTCTCTTCCAGCATGGAGATTTCTCCCAGGCTGTAGGGCTGGGAGTGACCACGCAGCCCCTCTGTGCTGTGACCGAGGGCCACCTCTGATCGTCTCAGCAGCCGGAGAGCTCAGTGGCCTGTCACTCAGCCTCTACCGAGTCCACGCAGCTATGGACAACACCGATGGCCAAGCGGGTCTCAGAACTCAGGTCAGATGGGGCCCAGGGCCCGGGCGAGAGGCCTCAGTGACTAGTCTCCAGCACCCTTGGCCTGCCCCTGCCTGCTCTTCCAGGCCTCCAGCGCCCGGTTATGTGTGTGGTCATCATTGATTTTAGTGGATGTTGGCCAGACCCTTCTTTGGTGCCAGCCCTGAGCTAGTTGTCCCCAGCAGCCGCCAGGACAGTGGAGGACAAGGACCTGAAGTGGGGTGCAGGAGTAGGTGCTGGGTAGCAGGAAGCTAGTATCCTTGGGACCCCAGTTCTGCCCTGGAGAGACCACCCAGAAGTCCTCCCACTGGGCTTGCCCAAGAAGGACGTGGGAGTCCCCAGTCAGGACAGAGGGAGGTCGGTATTAGAGGCAGAGCCAGGGAGAGCATCGTGGTGCTTCGGGGAAGCAAGGGATGCCAAGGGGGGTCTTTATCCCCGAGTTCATGGGGCTCCGGCTGCTGTGGCACCTGCTCCCAGCCCTCAAGGCTCTTCTGCTCGCTGTAACCCACTCCCCAGTCTCTTCTCCGCAGCCACTGGGCTCGCCCTGCCTGCTCTGCTCCTGCCCACAGAGACCCTCCCCTGGCTCCCCAGAGCGGGTCTAGACCGACCCTCAGACCCTCAGCCTGACCCTGGGGCTCGACCCTGGGCCTGTGTAGCCATGAGCTTTGTGGTCCAGCATGGAGGCTCCGTGTGCAAAGCCTGGCTCCCGACATGAGGGTGTCTCCTCTGGGACCCTTGGTTCAATGCCCCTGATGCTGGTGTTTTCCGGCCTGGCCCTTCCTCTGCTCTCATGGGCTTTCAAGACCTAGGGCTCCCAGCCCAGGCAGGTGTCTAGCCAGCTTCCTGCCCCCAGGGGCCCATTTTCTGTGCCCAGCTGTGCTGCTATCGCCCTTTCTTAATTTCTGTAGCTTTGTGCCATAGGGCGTGTGCGTTGCCAGGAGAGACAGACGTAAAGTGAGAGAGCATCCCCCGAGAGGATGGCCACACCGCAATCCCTTCTCCATTCTGCTCTCAGGGGCTCGGGCACGCATCTGCACATGCCCCTGTGTGATTTTCAAGCCGCCAGGTCAGGGACTTGGATGGCATTCAACCACATGGGAATCCAGTCCCATAACCACCACGCCCCCTGCTGGCCTGCTAGCACCCATTCTACCGGCGGAGAAACTGAGGCTCAGGGAGCCCAGGAATTTGGGTCTTCCTGCCTTCCCCTTCCCAGAAGCACTTTCTAGCCGGTCCCACTGCGTGGCTCCTCTGCCCAGGCTGCGCCCCCACCGCACTGTGAGCTCAGAGGTCTGGAACTGTGTGGCTCCTTCGTGTATACCAGTTCCCTAGTACCCAGCTGGGCACACCGTTGTTGCTCTGTAACTGTTGTCATTGGTGACACCGGGCTCTGCTCCGTGCCCGGTGCAGAGCCCAGGGCTGCTCCGACAGGGGGGCGGCCCAGGCAGGAGCGGAGCCGCGCCCGTAGCTGTGTTGGCAGCAGGCCACCGGGCTTTCGACAGGCCCCCTTCGTGCTGCGACTTGCGGTTGAGTCCCTGGCATGGGTGCCAAGAGGAGTGAAGGACCTGTCAGCCTTCCAGGAGGCTGCGTCTGCCAGCCATGGCGGTTAGAACGAAACCAGCCTTTCCTGTTCCAGGGAGACTGATGGCACTTGGAGAGCAGAACCCCCCTCCGCACCACAGCAGGCAGGAGCAGAGCCCCCAGCCTGCCCCGACCACCCACTGCCCAGACCACCCTGGCTGGCCCCCCTCTGCCTGGAGGCCCTCACGCTGGAGGGAGCTGATGGGTGGAAGAGGAGGAGGCTGAGCCCTGGGAAGTGGCCCGAGAAGGGCTGGGAGTGGAATCCCACGCTGTACGAGGCTGCAGGTTCCGTGAGGGTGGCTAGGCTGGCCACCCTGACATCCCACAGCATTGAAGAAACCCCCTCCCAGGCCGGGTGTTTGCCTCCCTCCAGGAGGGAGATGGGGACGTGCAGGCCATGTTCAAGGAACTGGGCACGTCAGGGCTCCCAGGACGGTGCTCCGTGGGCCCCTCAGCCTCAGTGTCCTGGCATCTGCCCGGTCCCCCGCGGACAAGCAGAGGGTGCCCCTTGCCAGGCCCAGGCCAGTCTGTCCTGCAGAGAAGCACACATCACCCAGGGCCTGAGGCTTGCAGGCCCACAGAAAGGCTTTCGTTTCTTTTAAGGTCAGAGAACAGAGTAATGTGAACTCGACCAGGCCCCATCCGTCTTAATACCAATCCCACAAAGTATCGCTCTTGACATTTTAATGGAGGATGGGTCCCCAAGACCGAAGTACTGGAGACCCCCAAACTCAGGCTGCAGCTGGCCCCTTGCTGGGTGCTCCCACCCTCCTGCATCTTTCATTCTTTTTCTTTTCCTTTTGCTCTCTTTTCTTCTTTTTTAGAGGTTTTTGCTTTAGGGCACCTGCATTCTCCAGAGAGAGAGAGAGAGGCAGTGAGAGGGAAAGTGAGAAATCACACCCCCTGGGGAATGACCATGCCACAGTCCTGTCTCCATTCTCCTTCTGGGATCTTGGGCACACACACACATACACACACACGCACACACACACACGTGCCTGGCATGTTTTCAAGCCACCTGGTCTGGGACTTGATCCGTTGTCGTCCATGGGGAGTCCCACGACGTAACCACCATGACATCTGCAGGTCCTACCCATATCCTTTCCTTTGTAAGTAGTAGGCTGAGAAGAGGGATTTTCCTTGACCTGGGGTCTTCTTGGGGTCTGTTGATGGTCCCAGTTCCCTCTGGCCACCAACACCCACCTCTGCGTGGTGACCCCTGAGATCTGATGGGGTGGGAGGCCCTTAGCACATCATTGACCCAAAGCCAGGGACCCCTTCACCTGGCTCTTACTATCCTGTTAGCTTGTTATCCTAGAATGTTCTATGGCCCCTGAGCCCCCTTTCCCATCCTCAGGCCTCTTTTTTTTTTATTTTAGAAGTTTTTGCCCTAGGGTGCATGCACTGACCAGAGAGAAATAAGAGGCAGTCAGAGGGAAAGTGAGAAATCACCCCCTTGGGGGACGGCCACAATCCCTTCTTCTC